GATTCCGCCTTCTACCATGTGGTCGAGTAGGACGTCGCGCTCTCTGGCGCGGACCAGCGCAGTAGGTGCTAGCAGCGCGGCTCTGCGCAGCTTTCTGGTGGCCAGGTGCGGGGGCGCTTCGCTGCCGCGTCTGCTGTTCGGGGGCCGTGAGCGGGGCTTCCTCCTTTTCTTCCTCCTCCTTTCCTTTCCCCCCTCCGCCTGTTCAATTGGCGCATGGGGGGCGCCCAGTGCAATCAGGGGCTGCGGGTAGACCGTTGGCTGCCCGGTCCTGCGAGCCGCTTCCGTAGGGGGCCGCTCCTGACCCGAACCGTCGCCGTCGCCTGCGCGTCTCCTGGCGGCCATGCCGCAACCGTTCAATTCAGTTATGCTGTTGCCTAGTTTCTGGTATGCGATGCTCGCCCAGTTTCCTCGCGCCTTGTATCGGCGCCTCGCTTTTACAGGGTGTTCACTTGTATATCATGCTGTGGACTGTAATTCGGGGTCGTTGTCCTTGTGTGAGGCCTGATTTTATAAATGGTCAGTTGGAACGCCGGATGTGCACACAAACGATGCATTTACATATGCCAGTCCGGCAACATTTTGTCATACGGTCTCTTTTCTTGTTGCCGTCCTTCCCCCTCTCTCTCCCTCCCCTTGTTCGTGTTCTTCCCTCCTGTTGCACGCATCCTCGTCGGCGCGCTTCGAGCGGAACCGCAGGCTGCTTTCCGCTGTCGCGTGCGGGGGCAAGGCGTAGTGGCAGTGCGAATTCTGTCGCTTTGCTTGCTGAGGCGTGCTAGCACATGTTGGGGTTGTGCTCCATGAGAACAAATCGCCAAGCTGTGCTCCAGGAAAACAGCTGTTGTGAAAACGGGCGCGTTGAGCCGAGAATTCCGCATTGCACGAGGGGCGAAGCGGGGAGATCCTTTGATTTCGTTATTATCCAACAGTCTCCCGCAATACAACTTCCACAAGGTCGACCCGAAATGGTCCAAACGCAGGTACAGTATTCAACTGTCATGTGTCCATGTCGCGCGACTCGCCAGTCTCAGATCTGCGGATGCTGTGTGTTACCAGTTGGTGGGTCAATGACGTTGATCAGACGGATGATACCAGACGTACAGAGCACGGCTTTGACGACAGGTTTGCGGATCCACCCCGACAAAGCGAAGATCCTGAACAATGTGTGTCACCGGAAATCAGCAATTACGCCGGAATTCGCGGTTGTTGATGGCATGCACATTGAATATTTGTTTTTTATTCCGGGGCGCAAAGTACCTGGGCCGACATTTCACATTTTGCGACCAAGCGGCGACGTGGAGCGAATCACGGATCGAAGCTGCTTGAAATACGTTGGACTGGTTCAAGGAAGGATTTACGAGCAATTTGTATGCATTTTATGACCAGCTGCGCATTTTCAGCGACGCTGTTGGTGCAACTATGTTGTGCGGGTGTGCGTAAGGTACAGGCACGGCCGAACGGGGGCACAACATCCAGACGGCGCTGCGCCGATACGTAGGGTTTTGTGCGCGCCACGACGCCGACACATTGCCGCGGCGGACAACTGGGGCGCACACGGTGCTTATGCCAGAGACGGTGCTGACACAGCATCAGCAGAGAGCGACAGCGACAGCGAATCACATTCCACATCCTCATCTTCTAGTTCAGCTGCTGCTACTAATACATGCGCCGACCCATGACACGAGTGGATCAAAGAGCAAAGCGCAAGGTGGAACACATATGCTCTCAAACTGGCTACGATGATTGAGCCACAATGCATCGACGACGGACATGGCGTTGGGCGTCCAAGCTTCTACACGAGAAGCACACATTGAGTTGGAACATCTGGTGTGGGACCCACCCTGCTGCGATACACGTGCCAGGAGGCTGCCGCAATGACTTCGCCTGCGATGGTTTGACGCGATGTGTTCGACGATGCGAACGTGTCCTGCCGATGGGGACTTGGAATCGATTGCCCACGACAACGAACAATGGAGGAATATGGAGTCGATATACGTCCAGAGCTCCAAGTGAGGCGCCCCGGCGCACCCGCCGTTCGCCGCACGGGACGCCTTGTGGGCGGCATCGGTGCCGCTCCGCTCCAGTCCATACTTCTCGGGGTTCGCAGAAATCTCCGGGGGGGCCAGGATACATCAGCGGGCTCGTGTTCCCAGAGCCATAAGCCCGTTGTAAATTCATTGGCCCGACGGGCCAGAGGCGTGCTACAATCTCCCGTAACAGGCTTCGATTGTTCTAATTTGCGCGCGCGGGGCGGCTTCTGGGGATCCCCAGCACGAGCAATATCCCGGGCGGTCCCTTGGCGGTGGGTTTGACGGATGCCAGAATTCTTGGGGGTGGTCTTCAGGGCTCCCAGTGCGCTCCATGGGCACCCCGAGTGACCCAAATGGACATCCAATGGGTTATTCGAGTCAGGGTCCATAGGTGGCAGGTTCCACGATGACCACCATACTCTCCCAGATGGCTTCAAGATAGCTTTCAGATTGTGATATATCGCTCCAAGAGCCAAGAGGCATTGATTTCGCTTAGGTTTGACATTTAAAAGGTTTTGGCGCTACCGCCTTTGCAGTCTTCCGATCGCCCAAGACAGTCCATTCAGCCCCCAAGGTTGCCACAGTTCAGCTAAGAGGCCCCCTGGACGGCCCTCAAGACAGCCCCAGAAGCCTCCCGAGAAACCCCCGACGAGGGGGAACCCGAGCTGAAATTTCAGGCCCTTTCTGGCAGATGCCCGCCAGAAAGCCTTCCAAGAGGCCCCCGAGAGGCCCCCAGAGGTCCCCAAGACCCCCCCAAAAAAGGCCCCACAAGGGCACGCAGGCAAGTGCCAACAATGCTACAAGGAGCCCCCAAGGCTCAGAAGACGGCCCACGAGGGCCTCAGGGGGGTCAGTCCAAGAGGGGCGCACGAACAGCCATTTCGAGGCCTCTGCCCCGAGACGCCCATATGGCTGTGCAACACTTCAAGAAAACGGCCACCACCCAGCAGCGCCGCAGTGGCAAAGAACACGCAGGCAAACGCCCGCGATGGAAAAGTCCAGGCTGGCGGACTGAGAGAAATGATCCGCCGCCCAACCAGCAACGGCGTGTGAGACCACCACCGCATCATTTGCAAGGACTGTTTCTCGTGAGTCTTCTCATCAGCGCACTTTTCATACCTATCCCGGCCTCTGAGCCTCTCCGAACCCCTCATGAGGTCCTCCTTTTGGACCGCTCATTTCGCCAGCCCGAGGGCCTTGGGTGCGGCTGGGGCGCTCCGTAGCCACCATTTCCATCCCGACCCCCGTTTCAGGTGCTAGTTTTCTTGGCGCCGCCGAGCCCTCTCTGAAACCTCCCTGGGAGCAGTTTTTTTTGGTGCCTCTCGGGGCCCTCATGGGCTCATCTTGCCGGTCATTAGGGCCACCTTGGGCCGTTTTGGACGTCTCTCCACCTTTGTTCGGGTTCAAAACACCTGCAAACCCGATGAGCAACACCAGCTCGTAGCACACATCGGAATTGGACGGTTCCGGCCGTTGCAGGGTGCAAAGGAACCTCGGCCACGCAGCCCGATGGCCCCTAAGGGGGGCGGCGGATTTCAGGGACGTGTTCGCGCCCTTGGAGCGAGGGCCCGATTTTGAAAAGGAGCCGTTCCACAACCGTGCAGCGGGTGGGTATTGCGAAGGCCTTGCGGCTGGTGCCACCGATTCTGAAGGGGGACGGCGACGACGACGACGACGACGACGACGACGACGACGACGACGACGACGACGGCGACGGCGATGAGATGACGACGACCACGCTCACGCCGTTCTTCGGGGGGGGGTCCAGCGCCGATCCAAGAACTCTGCGCGCAGTTAGTTTATGTTCGTGCAGCTTCCGGTCCCTCGAAAAGATCACAAAATTAGCCATCTGCTGGTCGGAAGGTGTGGAAGGTGGAGCGTCGGGGTAGCGAGTGGGCATTTCAAGTTTTAGGACCGCAGCGCGTGCGGAGGCCTCAGCCAAGAGCGCGGTTTGACGAGGATCTGGCCTCCAGGCGTGTAGCTGCTGGAACACACAAGCTGCACTATTACAGGACCAGGCGGAGGCCACAGCACGATTTTGAAACAAACTGCCCTCCACCTGTGTGGCTGCTGGGAGCGTGACGCTTTAGAAACAGCGGTATAACACGCGTGATTTTCGCACAGGTCGCCCTGTCGCCACGTCTGGTTGCAACGAGGGCTCCTCGATCCTCGACCCTCCCTCCTCCATGGTCCTCGGTCTCCGGAGGCGGCGGTGACCCCCCTGCCCAGACATCTGACGTCGTGATGTTCTCACAACGTGGACCTTCGGAGGTCTGGAGTTAAGTCGGGCCTGTCCCTCTACAGGAGGAATATTCAAAAATAGTTAAGAAATAGTCTGGGTATTATTTTTTGAATATTTTTTTTGCCATTCTGGAGCATTTTTGAAGTATTCTGCATTTTTCATCGAAAATCCCCCTGTAGGGGGACACGCCCGACTTAGTCTGGAGCCCTTCACCGGGGCTGGCGTTCCATCCCGAGTCGATGTTCGACGGTCCGGGAGCCCAGCAAGGGCTCCCGGCGGCCGACAATCGCCAACAGTATCGTCTTTCGGGGGTGGACAGACTTTGTACCCTGACACGTCGATTAAGGAATTGGCCGTTTTCGGTTCGCGAGAGGGCGTCGCGGCCGTCATTTTTGCGGGTCCAGGTCCGTCGGTTTCGGTCCCAGGCCGTTTTCATTAAGGGGAGGTCTACTAAAGGGAGGTTTGTCCACCGCCGAAAGGAGCATGAGGAGGAGAATCAAGCAGTGGCGAAGCGGCCAGACCTGCTTGCAGGCCTACCAACTACTGCTCCAGAGTTTAAGAGCCTCTCATAAGCTTGCACGAGATGCTCTTAGAACATGTCTGGCGGAGACCGTCTTGTTTTTAATTGATCGGCTTAATGTTCTATGAGCATGGTTTTTGCTCTTCGAACTAAGAACATGTCGTGGCAGGCCTGTGGGGATGCAGGGACGGTCGGTCCCTGCTCGAGAGAAGGTGCGCGATCCCTGACGCCCATCCTGGCCCACGTCTTCTGCGCGCACGGCCGCTGCGATGCCGCCACGCTCGTGGGCTCCACGGCTAGCGCCTTCTTCGCTGGCGACTTCGTGGCGCAGGCGGCAGCGAAGGCGCTGGTGCAGAGGTTCTCGGGCGGGGCGCTGCTGGTCGCTGGCACGGCCAGCTGGGGGCTGCTGGTGCTGGGCATGTCGAAGAGGAAACGCAGGCACAAGCAGGAACTCGAAGTTTTCAACGGGCAGCGTACGCGTTGTGGCAGTCTTTGGAGCTTCGCGGTGGTTCTCCATCTCCTCCCTCCCCCCCCCCCAAAAAAAGAAACACAAGCAGGAACTCGAGGTCCCGAACCCTCCGGGCTGGGGGTGGTCCCGGGTGGCTTCTGCTTCGCGCCCTTGGGGCCCCACGCCGGAGTGGCCCCGGACCAGAGCTGTCGCTGATAACTCGGGCGTCCAACCATCGGGAGCGGAAAAGAGGGGGGTGATGACTAGGGGGGGGTGGATATCATGGCGGGGGCCATGATATTTCCTGAGATTTCATGGCGCCTCTTCTTATTTCATTACGTCCCTGGTCCCCCGCTGGGCCGCGCACATGCCGCTGGTCATGATTTGCACTCCCCCCTCTTGGACGCCCCCCTCTTTGCCGCTCCCGGAACCACTTCCGAGCTGTCGGGGCTGGGGGCGGTCCGGGCCTGGGTGAAGTTCTTGGTTCGTGCGTCGCAGGCCCAAGCCCGAGTGATCCCGAACCCGAGTTATCCTGGATGTCTCGAGCGTCCAATCGACTTTCGGATGTCCGCGCGGATTTCTTGGATCGGCGCAGGATCCCCCCTGGCAGCGCATCCGGCGCCGCCCCTGGCTCGCTCAGCGCGCCAGGGAGGGTGGCCCAGCGCCGATCCGAGGAATCCGCGCGGACCTCCGAGAGTTATATGCTTGTGCAGTTCTTTCCTCTTCGAGTATGCCGCTGGTGCTGCCAGACCCGCTGCTGGTCCTCATGCCCGCCCAGTTCGTCCTCGGCTTCTGCTGCGGCCTGGGCTACCCCGCCGCGCATGCCGTGCTCGCCTCGACCGTCCCCGTCGCCATCCGCACCACCGCCGTGACCCTCGTCACTAGCGCGGCGGCGCTGGGGACCATGGCGAGCAACTTCGCCACGCCGCAGGCCGCCGAGCTCATCTCGGCGGCGAGCGAGGGGGGGAAGTGAGAAGAAGAAGAAGAAGAAGAAGAAGAAGCATGTCTTCTCAGAAGGCTCGGGAGTCCCCCGCCCTTCTGAGAGGTTTTCTAAGCGAAGCCTTGCCCGAAGATGCAGCAACCTCCTCACAGAGGCGTGAGGGCTTTGAGAAGTCCCGCCGCCTTCTGAGAAGGCTTTCTCCTTCTCACTTCTCACCCCCTCGCTCGCCGCCGATCATTGGGCACAAGTCCCCTTACGTTTTCTTCGCCTGCGTCGGCCTGCTGACATCGGCGCTGGCCCTGCTCTGCATCCCGTGCGGGTCGCAAGCCGGTCCGCAGAGCGGCGCAGAGGGCGGGTTTGGCGACACGCTTCGGGAGGCTTCGATCTGGGTCCAGGACCCCCTGATCGCGGCGCTTTTTTTCGGGATGTGGGCCAATGGTCTCGCGAACGCATTTCTTTATACCTTCGTGCCTACCCTGTTTGTCGAGGTGTACGAGGCCAGCGTCGTAGAGCTGGGGTGGCTGACGATGGCAGCACCCTTGGGGAACGCGCTGTGCTGCGTCCTCAGCGGGATCGCCTCCGACTATTTGATCGCCAGGCAGTGGCCGACGTATTCCTGCCGGATTCTCATGCAGTCTATCGGCACCGCTGTCCCCGCCGTGAGTTTGTTGGGCCTCTACCTGTGCACGCACAAGGTGAATGCAGCCTTATGTTTGGCGGTGTGGTTTGCATCCCACGGGTTTCAGACCTCTGGGCTCACCGTCGCCCTCCACGACGTCGCCCACGCGCGCGCGAGCGAGTTCTTTGCGGTCGGGAACGTGTTCTCCAAGCTGGCGGGCATCTGCGCGGGCCCCCTCGTGGTCTACATCTCGCGGAGGTGGGGCTGGAGCCTCGTGCTCGGGATCATCGGCGCGCATTACGCCGCGTCGGGCGCCTGCCTGGCCACGCTGCTGGGCCGCGTCGACCAGAGCGCCCGACACTTCGAACAGGCGGCCACTCGCCTCGCCCGCCACGGGACCACCCAGGGCGAGGAGGTGCCCGGCCCGCAGGGCGGGGAAGCGGCTGGGCCGCGCCCGCAGAGGGGCCGGGTCGCGGGGCTGTCCATCACGGTGCCGCCCGATGAGACACTGGAGAGCCACCCGATGTCGGTGGAGGGCTTCTTCAGCCGCCTCGCGGACGCCGCCTTCGGCAAGGACCCAGGGAGCCCCCTCTCCCCGGTCTTCCACCACAGCCCCCTGCGGGCCGAGGGGGCGCAGCGCCTGCTGTCGCCCACGTTCGGCGCCAGGCGCCGCAGGAGCTCCTCCGGAGGGCTGAAGGCCGCCTGAGCCCCCTCTGCGCCACCGCCCGCCCAGCGGCCCGCCCACAGCGGTCCGCAGAGCGGCCCCGAGGAGCGGCCCGCTCGAGCGGCCCGCAGCGCCTCCCGGCACCATCGCCGCCGCTGTCGCGCCAGCTCGGCGGGAATCTCGTCTCCTGCTCCGCCTCGCCTCCCAGCGTGTCCGAAACTGGGTTCAAGGCTCGGCCCGAAGAGGTAGACGAGCTGGCGGCGGCGCTCGCGCGGGGTGCGACACCTTTTCCATCAGGCGCCCCCCAAGCGGCCCTGAGGACGCACAGGTAGGCGTGCCAAGGATAGATAGGCGTGCCACGGGAATGAAAAAGCGTGCCAGCGCGTTCGGCCTCAACTGGGCTTCCTCTCTCCTTCCCCCCCGTCCCCGTCCTCTCGCCAGGAGGAGGGAGGAGGACTCGGCACAAGTTGTCAAATTGTGACGCAATCGACCGCACGCTGGCATAGTTATACAGCGATGGCACCCTCAGCCCTCGCACGGCAGCCCTCACTCAGCCGCTGCTGCTGCTGATGATGGTGATGATGATGCTGATGCTGATGCTGATACTGATGCTGATGCTGATGATGCTGCTGCTGATGATGACGTTGCTGATGATGGTGCTGCTAATAATGATGCTGCTGATGATGGTGATCATGATGATGATGATGCTGACGATGATGACGATGAAGATGATGACGATGAGGCTAATGATAACGATGATGATGCTGCTGATGTTCACGATGGTGCTGATGCTGCTGATGCTGCTGATAATGCTGATGATGGTGATGATAATGATGATGCTGATGATGACCATGATGATGGTGGTGATGATGATGATGATGATGATGATGCTGATGATGATGATGATGATGATGATGATGATAATGATGATGATGATGATGATGATGGTGATGATGATGATGATGATGATGATGATGATGATGATGATGATGATGATGACGGTGATGATGATGCTGACTCTGATGATGATGGTGATGACGACGATGAAGACGACGAGGAGGAGAAGGAGGAGGAGGATGAGGAGCAGGAGGAGCAGCAGGAGGCGTATTTGCTGTTGGAGTCTACCCTCCTACAGCCGAAAGCGACAGGCTGGTGGCGAGCGGGCCCGCCAACACATTTTGTCGCACACTGTGCAAGCACGACCAAACCAAATTAAGCTTGCGAAGCAATCAAATCGGCATTAATCCCAGCCCATTTAGGATGAAGCTTCCGTTTCAATATATTCCATTGGTTGCGTCGCGGAGTTTTTTTACCAGGCTCACATTTTGTTGTCGAGGTTCCCGAGTTGGCCCCCCGACGTCGCAGAATTGCACTTGTGGCAAAGACGAAGAAGGGAGCCGTCAGAACAGTCGACCAGGACCTAGCGGTGTCCAAGGTCTCGAAGCCTGGCAGGCTGGACTCGCAGCACAGTTGAGCACACCCCTCCAGGGGGGCTCAGCCGAGGGGACACCGCGCCTCCCACGCAGGCGCGTCGCACAGTGTCAGTATCTGCCTACCCAGCGCCACTGACGCATAGGTCTGTTTGCCCGCTTCTTCTCAGCAGGCGGCTCAGGAATACATCCAACCTCGGGGCCGAGGGCCAACCCTGGCGACATAACCAGGAGCTTCGCACCCAGACGGCCCACGGCCCGAGATGCGGCACAACATCTGTCTGCGGGGAAAGTTTGAGGGTGCGAGGATGCCGCAGATGTCGCCGCAAGGTCCGTCCAAGCGTTGCTCCCTGCCGCAGGTAGCGGCCATGGGCGTCGGCGGCACCTCCACGTTCAGATGCGCTTTGAAGTAGTGAGACGAGCGTTGGACCGATACTCTCGGAGAAAATGCACCGTGGGCCCGGTGGCCCATTGAGTGGCGACCGACATGGTGTGAGATTCGGCAGCTTGCGGCAACTGGACGCACGGAGCCCACCCTGGACCACGCATTAGCACGACCTCTTTTCCAGACAGGACCGACCAGCACGATGGCCCAGCCAGCTCTGTTAAGCTCTCTCACCAAGTACCTAGTGTAGGAGCCATCCGCGAATAAACCAACTTGGACCAGCACGCCCATGTCTCCCTCGACCCCATCCGCATATTCCACCTCGATACCACCCTGCTTTGTAGGCGGCGGTAAAGAGTTGGCGGGGTGCGGGAAGCCGCCGCACCATGCGAGGCTATCGTCTGCATCAGGTGCCCAGGACTGCACATGCTTCGAAACTAAGCTGACCCTTGGCTCTACGCGCTCTGGGTCTTAACATTCCCGCAGACGATGTCTTGGGTCTTGGCGTATCTCAGCCCTGTTCACACCGAGGGCAGCAAGTAGGTGGTAACACAGAACCTAAGTTGGCAGCGCGCGAACGGGTATATGTATGGCGTTACAAACTAGAGCCCAAAGCCAACCCTTGTGATATGTCGTATATTTGGGGCTCCTACGATAGCTGAACATAGGGTCGACGCAAACACGGGAAGGCATGTTGAGCCGCGTTCCCATATCCCATTCGAACACCCTCATAAAGTTTGGCGAATGCTCCGTGATCGTGAGCTCGTCCCCTTGGTCACTCGCCAGGGCCCCGAATGCTGGCATGCTCCAGGAACCATGTTCCAAGGATGTTCTCAACGCGGTGATGGGATCCGAAACGGAACATCAACGTTGCGAGGGGCCAGCGAAGCTCAGTGAGCTGGAGAGTGTGACAACAAACCCTGTGGAAGGCCCACCACACTCCTGTGGCCCACCCACAAATCGAGGAAACCTTGGCGTACCGCACCATTCACCGTGCGCCAGCAGCAGGGCTGTCAGGGAGCGGCCTCTCGCAGGAGAGGAGGAGATGAAGGATGATAATGAGGAGGAGGAGGATGAGTTGGCGGAGGAGGAGGAAGAGGAGGAGGAGGAGGAGGAGAAGGAGGAGGAGGAGGGGGATAATGAGGAAGAGGAGGAGGAGGAGGAGGAGGAGGAGGAGGAGGAGGAGGAGGAGAAGGAGAAGGAGGAGGAGGAGGACGGCGAAGAGGAGGCGGAGGAGAGGAGGAGGAGAGGAGGAGGATAGGGAGGAGGAGGATAGGGGAGATAAGGAGGATAAGGAGGAGGAGGAGGATGAGGAGGAGGAGAAGAGAAGGATGAGGAGGAGGACGACGAAGAGGAGGCTGAGGAGGAGGAGAGGAGGACGAGGACGAGGACGAGGAGGAGGAGGAGGAGGAGGAGGAGGATAAGAGGAGGAGGGAGGAGGAGGAGGAGGAGGACGAGGACGAGGGGGTGGAGGAGGAGGATAAGGAGGAGGAGGAGGAGGAGGAGGAGGAGGACGAAGAGGAGGCGTAGGAGGAGGGGAGGAGGAGGACGAGGAGGAGGAGAGAGGAGGAGGACGAGGACGAGGAGGAGGAGGAGGAGGAGGGAGGGATAAGGAGGATAAGGAGAGGAGGAGGAGACGGAAGAGGAGGCGTAGGAGGAGGAGGAGGAGGAGGAGGAGGAGGAGGAGGAGGAGGAGGAGGAGGAGGAGGCCGCCGGCGGGCACCGACGAGGCACGGGCGGGCTTCAGTCCAGGGGGTGGTCTGGACGCCACTGGCCCCTGCTGAGCCCGCGGCCGCGCCCGGGAGGGGCTGGCGCAGTCGAGCAAATCGTTGCGCGGTGACGCTCGGTTGGCTCCGCCTTCTGCCCTCCCCAGCCATGGGCCGCCCCTCTCCAATGTCGGCATGCGTGGTGTCATCGGAGAGGGGTGGCCGAGCGCTGGAAGGGCCGAAGGCGTCGAGCAAATCGGCGCGCGGGGACGTGTTTGGTTGGCCTCCCCCGCGCTGGTGGTTGCATGCCTGCTCGTCGCAGTTGCCGGGTGATCGGTGTTTTCTCTTTTTCACTGGCTGGTGGCGGCCGTCCGTGCTGGCGGTGCTGTACTTTTCCACATGGTTCATGTCAATAACAGGGGAGGCAACTTCAATTTGAACGGCGGAAGGATACGGGTTCGTCGTCGCCGACATTGTTGTGTAACTTGCCCGCGTGAGGTCGCGCGCCAGCGCCTTGGTTTCCTCTGTAGCGTGCCGCGCTGGCGGTCCGCGTGAGCCGCGGCAGTAGGTCGCTTTGCCATCTTGCGTAAGACCCGCTTCTTGTCGTCGTTCATGCGTGATTCGCATCGCGAAGGGGTCCGTTCCGTTTCATCGCTGTATTTTGCGGCAGCGTTCGTCGATGCCGAACACCTCTTGTCAAAAGCGCGTGAACTCGGAGGCCCCACAGCTTTGGGCTCCCTCGTCCGTCTGAGCGGGTAGTTCAGCGCCGAAGCGCGTGAGGAGTTGGGCATGACCCCAGCGCTCCTCCCGCAGGCTTTCACCGAAAATTGCGGGTCGTTCTAGCATTGCACGCCTGAATCTTTTTGTGCGCAGCACGAACCATGGTAACTACATCAGCAGGGGTGGGGGAGGCCGATGGCGAGGCACATTCCAGCCCTTGCGCGGGCGAGCCTAGATAGGGGGGCACCTCCGCAACAGCCTCGATCGTTGACACTTGGGGCGCTCCAGCTATGGCCTCGCGTTCAAGGGATCGAAGGGGTTGGCATTTCATTCTCGGCGGGAGGCGGCAGAAGGGCGGCGAAAGCCGGCGGAAGCAAAGCATGCGCCCCCGAGAGATGGAATTCGTTTTCCCACTCATCTTGTGTTGAGTTGGGTCCTCGTTGTGGATCAGCAGCGCCCCGCGTCCTCCTTTTCATTCCACCTCCCCCCTCTTCCCATCCCTGCCTCTGCCCTCCGCATATCGTCGTCGTCATCATAGTCAACATCGTTATCCGTAAGGGCTTCACCCCATGCCGCTGGCCCCCTGTTTCGGATGATGGGAGATGCAAAAGCTAAATCATGAGGTCTGGGCGCCGCCGTAAGCAGTGTCGGGACCTGTTTGTTTTTCGACCCTGACCCTACGGATTTGCGTGAGGGGTGCCGCCGAATTTCAGAAATGTGGCAAATCCCATATGTTTTTGGACCCTGACCCCGCCGATCTGCGTGAGGGGTGCCGCCGAATTTCAGAATTGTTGCAAATCC